GCTAAGTTGTGGCTCAAAATAAACGGGCGTTTCATATGGCTTGTCGATCCCCGCACGGGCAACGAGCTGTGTCGGGGCACTGTGCCTGGCCAAAGAGGCTATGCTGGCAATACATTTGAAGGACAGTTTTGCAAAGCGATCTATACGGGAGAGCAATGATACTTGGCTTATAGTAAACATTATGCTGGCCAGTCACACGTTGATTAATTCGATATATCTCAGCTAAAGTGCAACACAGAAGAACTGGCAATAACTCCCCCATCACTAACCCAATACTCCAATAACATGGAAGAGCAAACCATTCAGTTCATCTTGACCTGGAACAAATAGCGTTGTCGGATCTGGGCAACATCATACACAATGTATTCGTTGTAGTACAGACTACGACTTTGGGTATCCTGGGAGCTGCCAATAGCCACATCTGGCATCGTCACACCTTCCAAAGCCGGGTTCAAGCATCCGGCATCCTTCCACCCACCGGGGGTGTTCCTGCCCCTGCCGAGCGTCGCAATCTTTCCAGCCTTGTGCGCTTCCTCGCCAGCGTTGTAGTTGCTATGGTCAAGCTCCAACATGGGCGCACCAAGCTCGGTATCGCAGAGAAGAAGCAACCCCATCCCCCGGCTGTTGTAAGGGCAACAGTAGTTTGCGGATTTGCTCGACGTATCTGCCAGATATACACCCTTTCCGAACATGTATCCGTTGACGGGTGCTTCGGGCGGTGCGATGCGAAGACCTTGGCTAAGGATACCACCGAAATTTGTGCTGCGAGATCCGTGCCAGAGGAGGCGGCGGTCGCTGTTTGGGATCTTGGCATAGGGGGAGGCGTTGAAGCGGTCTTTTTCGCCTTGGCGCTCGATGCGGAAGATGTTAATTACCTTGTAGCTCATGCTGTGTGTCTGGCCGCGTGAGTTCTGGAGGTAGTTCTCGAGTTCTGCGAACTCAGTTGATTTGTGGTCCACTGGGAGATGTCAGTGTCAGTTTGATGAAATATTGCAGCTTTGTGGATTTATACTCACGTTCAGTCATCTCCTCCATACCTAGACTCTGGAACTGGCGATCCAGCGGGTGGGTGTCATCGTCTTCCTTGCCTTCCTTGGACGATACCATGATTTCATTCGCAACGTCCATGTCTGTGAGTGCCTCCAGCAAATCGACTTCCTTCTTGATTTGCGCGTTTGTATTCAGGGTTGGGGGCCTATGACGGCCAAAGACGTGGGGAATCAATGTGAAATATCGGTTGCTCAATGTCTCTATGGCATCACCATACGGTTGGCCATATCTTGCTTGTGCCACGCTTGGTGTAGCCATCAGCTCGGATATCTCTTTCAGAACCGAAAACCCGCTTTTCAAAGTCCTGTCGCTCAGCTTCCCCAATGGGAGTTTGTGAGCGTCGTAGGACATTGCGGCCAACGTGTCGAGAACATCTTGCCGGTTGAAGATGAACGACATCAGGTCTTGAAGCCCTTTGGACAAGGCACTCTGTGCCGCGGGCTTGTCCTCTTCTTCCTTGATAGCTTTCTCCTTTTTCACGGGCTCTTTCTCTTCGTCGTCCTCTTCATAGTCGCGCTCAAGGAACGTGTACTTTCCGTTTCGAGGAGTATCGAGTCGATTTTCCCACTTGAGACCTGACTTGTCTTTGAACTTCTTCTCATATTGCCGCACCGCGTCTTCCAAGCTGCCGTCCCCGAGACAGGCTGACTGCCCGTGCTCCCCGACCCGACCCCAGCGCGTCCAGGAAAAGTACTTTGAGTTTGCACCTACCAACAACTGGACACGATAGAATTTGTTGGCATTGTGGGCTGCCAGAGTCTGGCTCAGAGTGGCATCCCAGATGAGGCCTGTGCCGTCAATGTATACCTTGGGGTCTGTGACAAAAGGGGTCAGTCGTCTTCCACACATGAGTGCTAGTATCGCAGAGCTTACCCTTGAGTTTACCCAGTGCCTCGAAGCCCTCGTCAATTGGGACATTAATTGCCTTTGTGGCTGTCTTCTGGATGTCCTTTATTTTTTTGTTGGCACCCTTTTTAACAGGCTCTTCATCCGCGGCTCGTTTCTTGGTCGTAGGCTGCTTATCCACGTTGGGGTTACCTTTGCGGCTTGTACCATTCTTCTGGGTGTCGTTTGTCGTTTTGTCGGAATCATTGGCAGCAGAAGTCGCGTCGGCACCTCGTTTCCTTGTGGTACGCTTGTTATCTGCAGGAAGTGCTGCAATACCGTCAACGTTCTTCTGTGTGTCATCGTCTGCCTGGGGCGCCTGGTCGGCCTGGCCAAAGGAATAATTCGACTCTGGCAACGGTTTCTTGGCCTTGTCTGATTCAACAAGCCAAGAAAGTGGGACAATGTGACAATTGGCGAGCTGGGAAGCTTGTTTGTCTACTCGACTGATCAATAAGAGAGCCCCAAGGTTGTACAGCGAAACCTCGAAAGTTTGAAACGTTGGTCACTGCTTGACATCGGACATCGTGTAGACCTGGCATTTTTGAAAATGGTGTTCAGGAAGCGAAAACAACCGTCTGAAATATGTTCATGGTCATTAACACCCCAAGCGGTGGTAACCAGCGTTTGGAGTATGGAAGCAGTAATAAATTGACCTTTGAGAAAGCGCAGAGGTTTCAAACTTCGGAGGTTCCTTGGTCTGTGGTAGTCCACTCACACTTAGTAGTCTGCTTCTCTACATCCTTTTCAGTGGTCACCAGATGGGTACAATCGTCCGTGACCGCGGTGCTGAATGTTGCTCCATTCTTCTCAATCAGCGCTTTTAAGTCCGCTAGGAGCAATAGAGTGATCAGCATACAAATTGTGGTGGACATGAGCTAAATAAACACCACCCAGCGAATAGGGCGCTCATACCTTGTCTGAGATTGGGAAAGGTCCCGCCCACGGCGACGACAAGCTTTTTGAAACTTTGAGCGGGCATTATGTCACTCAATTGCAAAAAAAGACTGGGTATTAAGAGTAGAAAATAGGAATGTAGAATGAAGAGAGATTGAAGAGGGAATCAGGTAGATTGGTGTAGGTGAAAGGGAAGCTGCCCAGGTGGGAGCAAAGAAAAATCGAAAGGGCGCGAGATGGAGATGAAAGTAGAAAGGAAAAACACAAATCGAGTAGAACAGGAAGAGACAAGTTGCCTTTTAAACCAAAATACGAGCTGAGGTTGATCTCAGTCTAGCTTTGTAGCCTGAGAGATCAGGCATAAATGAGGCTGCTGCCTGGCTTAGCGCCAGGCAACACCAAGGCAGCACACCCTGTTTTGTGGAGATTAAGGGGAGAGTTGATCAACGGAATATACAGGGGTACATGTAACACAGAGAATATAATTTCAATGTTGTGACTCAAAATACCATCTCATTGACTCGGTTGGTTACCATAAATGCTGAAAAGCAACTACCCCACGGCTAATAAGGACGAGGCCATACATTCTTAACCTTGCGAGACAGTCTCCGGTATAGACCAACCCCGGAAACATCGAAACATGAACATGTGGTGCGGTTATGTGGCTAGGACTTGTGGGACAGTGGATGCCTTCATGCCTCAGGCATAAAACCGTCGTGTCTAGATTGTCGTTTCGGAGCTCGCTCCTCTCTCTTCCAATACAACTCTCTCCCTTCTGCTCTTTGTGCCCACATCCTGTACCCTAAAGACAATTCCAATCATTGAGGCAAGAACCAGGATCCATGATTGAGGTACACAGATAATGCCCAGGTAGCTCATAGTGACGTATCTGAAACCAATTCAATACATTGAGGCAACCCGCACCCAATTCAGCTTGCGTCCGAAGATTCTGTAAATTCAGCCTCCCTCACAAAGGTTAGTATCAGAAATACACCTGACTTCAAATCCAACCTTCATCGCCAGAATGATACCTAAAACGGCATCAAAGGCCGGCCTCGATTCTGAAATCCAAAAGTTCATTTCTGAAAATCCGACTTTATCTCTGGGCGGGAGAGAACTGGCCCAAGAAAGAAAAGTCCATGCAGATGTTTTCGGCTTTGTATCTCATCCTCGGCCCCTACAAGCGCACATTGGCAACGTCGAGTTCCTATCAATCAGAGGTCCTTATGGGACCATTCCGTTGCGAGTGCTATATCCCTCAAAACCAGCACGGAAGCAGGAGTCCAACCTTGTACCCGCTCTAATCTATTTCCATGGTGGGGGTTACTCAGTCGGTAGTGCAGACGAGTTCGAGAATGGATGTCGCATTCTCGCGGAAAAAGCACGGGTGCAGGTCTATCTTCCGGACTACCGTTTAGCTCCAGAATGGACTTATCCAGTTCAGCTAGATGAGTACGAGTTCGTATTAGACTGGCTGCGTGGAGAGGGTGGTAAGGAACGAGCTGTTGATGTGGGTTCAATTTTTGGGGCAGGTGACAGCGCCGGCGGCAACATGAGCGCGAGTTTATGTCTACGATTGAAAAAGAAAGGGAAGGAGCCTCTAGCGGGGCTGTTGCTGCTTTACCCAGAGCCTCGGTTACCATTTGATACTCCTGCTGCCACAGACAGCAATTCCGGTCCGTACCTTGCATGTAAGCGGCCTTTCCAAATTGAGGGAAAGCGACGCTGACCGAACAGGCAACGGGATATTCTCCTTTGCGCACAACTACATACCAAATGGTGTCTCTTCGTCGCACCCAGAAATAACCCCTGGGGCGCAGCCTGTGAATGCTTTAAGAGATTTCCCACCCACCGCAATCCATACGTGCGGATTTGATTGTCTCCGCGACGTCGGTGTAGAATTCGCATCGAATCTGGAAGAGGCCGGGAATTGCGTCTTTTGGCGACACCACGAAACATTAAGTCACGGATTTCTGCAGATGGCTCCTTGGAGCAAAGTGGCCATGAAGGCACTGGGGCAGGCGGCGGATGATGTCCGGACAATGCTGGGTAGTTGCGGATACAAGGGAAACGAAACTAATTAAATGGAAGAGCAAAGGTTATGAAGAAAGCTACTTTGCAGATTCCTCCCGATGACAGAAGTAGCCATGCACAAGCTGTTCGTCACCTCAAATGTTGTATGGGGGTCCTCGCATTCCACCCTCATGATAAGCAGGACCAAGCTCTCCCATCCCATTGATGAAATTCTCTTTCCAAGCACCCTCCACCCAAGCTCCATCAAAGTTGTCCTCTACTCCATCATCCTCCACCCGCCACTGCCTCACCACATTCCCACAATCATCCCAAAACACATGCAACAAACCCCCACCATCAAGTGCTACCTCATCTTCCACAAAAGCATGAGTAACAACACAAGCAGCATGATACAGGCCATACTTTAGAAGGGGGTTCGCCGCACGGGTCGCCCTCATCTGTGCCAGCATCTCTTTGATCTCATCAGAATAGTCCTCTTCACCAGATCCCGTATCATCTTCCACGTAACCCAGTACCTCTCTCAAAGTCTCCTCTCGCAATTTAATGTGTCCCGTGGAACCCTCATTCGTGACACGCTCGGGGAACAGTTCCAACGCAGCTGCCACGTCTAGGCCGCCCCTGAAAATCTCTTCATCGTCAAGGACTACCCCCTCGGGACCGACGTAGGCTACGTCTTCGTTGTAGGACCATAGAGCCTCATGCGCCTCTTCTTTCTCTTTTTTGTAGCAGAGACGGATCCAGAGGCCTTCCTCTAGACAGGTGGTATAGCCAGCGTAAGGCCGTAGGGCCTCCGGGCGTACTGGGAGGAGGATCTGGGCTATTTGGGCCTCAGTGGGTGTGGGTGGTGTTTCTGTGCGGGCGTTGTAGGGATAATGAATCAATTATGTGTTAGTTTGGGGTTGTGAAGAAACGCAGCATTTCAATTGAAATGGATTGATCAGTGTAGGGCAGTATTTACCTCTCTGCCTTCCAATCCTAATGCGAGGAACTGACGTACCAGCCGTCGGCGGCGGTCTGAGGGGGACTCGGTGGGCTGTGCGGGGTTCGGGGTTTCCCATTCCGAGAGAAGATAGATATCTAATGGGAGGGATCCCCAGGGGACCGGTTCAGGTGACTCGCCTTCAATAATTCGGAGAGGCATTTGTGTTCCGTTCCACCCCAGGAGATGTAGGAGGGAAAAGGCACAGTATCAGGATTGATTTCAATGTGGCTCAAAATACCATCTGATTGACTCAATTGGCCACTATGAAGCCTGAAAGCAACTACTCCACAGTTAATAAGTAATCTACGCGGCTAAAATTAGCATATAGCCTCTATACAGTATAAACCGATTTCCCAGTTCCAGAGCCACCGCGACGCTAAATTCTGACATCCGGCCAGCCGTGGATGTTAGCGGGGGTTCTCTGCCCTTGCCCTTCGATACACTTTTCACCAGGGCTATAGAGAATAACTCAATCTCCAGGAATCCACAATGACAACTACTTCCGCTTTCGCTCTTAACCATCCACAGCTCGGCAGTCTCACTGGCCGCCTGATTGATCACCAGCATGCTGATGGACAGCCCGTGACTGAGCCTGTCGTGCATTTCCGTTCCATCCCCTATGCCACCATCCCAGCCCGCTTAAGGCAGAGCGTACTGCTCGATCACATCCCAGACCACTTTGATGATCGACCACATGGCGACTTTACACAGTATGGTGCTGCGTGTCCGCAGGTGCCACAGCCCACTGGTAGAGGTAGCGCGACAGGAGGGTTGATGCCTGGCGACGAGCCAGTCACATATGATGAGCAAGCCTGTCTCAACTTGACCATCTCCGCACCTGTGAAGAATGTCCTCGGCGACACTGGCCCATCAATGCCCAAAAGGCTTATCCCAGTTCTGGTCTATGTCCATGGTGGTGGCTTCATCGAAGGCAAGGGCCATGTCAGCGCCCTTCATGACACCACGAAGATGGCCGAGCTGGCAGCTCATGAATCCATGGATGTGGTGATTGTGCCAATAGGATATCGGCTGAACTGGCAGGGTTTCGTCGCCTGCTACGATCTACTCGAGGAGGCCAGGGAGAATGGCGAGCCTGCATTCAATTATGGGATGCGAGACCAACGCAACAGCTTCCTCTGGATCCAGAAACACATCGCGGGCTTTGGCGGTGATCCAGGTAACATTACTGCCTTTGGTGAGTCGGGTGGGGCTGCATCGCTCTACATGCACGCCTGTTCAGACGTGCCTCTGTTCAACCGGGTCATTATCCAGAGTGGCTCGCCCAGCGTCGTAGGCATGTGGACCCTTGATGAGTCCGATGCATACTATCACCATCTGTTATCATATCTGGGCATCGCGGGAGCGACGCGTGCAGAGCGACTCAAAGCGCTCCGCGAGGTCCCAGTGTCGCGCTTGATTGACTTTATTCGTGAGAACAACGTCGCCACAATGAAGCCCTACCTTGGTGCGGAGAGTGAGTTCTTCCCTCAGCAGCCTTTCTGGGCCACCCAGGGCGAAATTCTGGCCAACTGCCCATGGATCAAGGAGATCATGATTGGGGACGACTCCTGTGAGGGACTTGGGCTCATGCAGCCGCTGAAGGATATCTCTGCTAGCCAGTACATCGCACGATTTCGTACCATCCTCGGTGAGGAGTCCGCCCGCTGCGTGCTGGACGCATACGAGATATCCGATGGTATGGACGAGGGCCTTTTTTGGCCGAATGCGATGGTTATGATGGGAGACTTGATCTTCTCTGAACCTACGCACTCAACCGCTATCTCGGTGGCTAAGAGTAGTAAAAAGCGTTTATATCGCTAGGAGTTTGGTCTGTAAAACCCTTTCCCCGGGTCGGTTTTCTCCTATACAACCGGACATCATTTTGTCGAACTCATGTACTAGTTCATGACACTCGCGGGGCGTCTCCCTACTCACCGGAACCATTTCCTACGGCGTCAAGGAGAGGAGATAGCGCGTAGTTGGATTCGTTTTGCGAATGGACTCCCGCCGATGCCCGGTGCGAAACCGTACGATCTGGAAGAGGGAAGCATCATGATTTGTGATATGCTGCAGGGGTGGACAGTGCGAACCAGAGCGGAGGATGAAGTCATCAGCCAGCAAGATCCGTGGGGTCCCCGGCGGTATCGTCAGTGGGAAGTTTTGAATGAGGAGTTGAAAAGAGCCGGACGGGCCAAGGATGGGTCTGGCTCGGAGAATGAAAAGATTGAGGCGACAAGAAACGGCTTGCTAGTATTGCGTGTATCCGAGATGCGTTGAGATCAGGGTAGAGGGTATACATTCTTGCGACATCAAATCTGTTCCAGTGTTAGGAATCCATTTCCAATATGGTACGAGGCCGAGAGAAGGCGCAAGGGAATACAGCCCCAGCTGTGAATCCAAAATGGGAAAGACAGTGTGGCTCCCGGATATTTTTCTAGAGTGAGGAAAGCTCCCGTCTCCCCGCACAATGCACAGTCCCTGAATAGGTCAAGGCTAGGCTATTGGCTGTAAGTTCCCCCCCCCCCCCCCCCCCCC